GGAAACGATTTATATCTCAAATTGAAGATTAAAGCTTCTATTTTAAGATGGTGTATGATATGTAGGGTGTTTGATTAAAATTTTTTTTAGAAAAAGGCGTTTGAAGAAATGTTGTTTGAATTAGGTTAAGTTTGAAATTGTCAAAAAAGTAAGAATTTCAAAAAATCACCACTTCGACATTTTTAATAGTTAGGAAACGATATGTATCTCAAATTGAAGATTAAAGCTGCTATTTTAAGATGGTGTATGATATGTTGGGTGTTTGATTAAAATTTTTTTTAGAAAAAGGCGTTTGAAGAAATGTTGTTTGATTAGGTTAAGTTTGAAATTGTCAAAAAAGTAAGAATTTCAAAAAATCACCACGTCCACATTTTTAATAGTTAGAAAACGATTTATATCTCAAATTGAAGATTAAAGCTTCTATTTTAAGATGGTGTATGATATGTAGGGTGTTTGATTAAAATTTTTTTTAGAAAAAGGCGTTTGAAGAAATGTTGTTTGAATTAGGTTAAGTTTGAAATTGTCAAAAAAGTAAGAATTTCAAAAAATCACCACGTCCACATTTTTAAGAGTTAGGAAACGATTTATATCTCAAATTGAAGATTAAAGCTTCTATTTTAAGATGGTGTATGATATGTAGGGTGTTTGATTAAAAATTTTTTTAGAAAAAGGCGTTTGAAGAAATGTTGTTTGAATTAGGTTAAGTTTGAAATTGTCAAAAAAGTAAGAATTTCAAAAAATCACCACATCCATATTTTTAAGAGATAAGAAACGATTTATATCTCAAATTGAAGATTAAAGCTTCTATTTTAAGATAGTGTATGATATATAGGGTGTTTGATTAAAAAAAAATTTAGAAAAAGGCGTTTGAAGAAATGTTGTTTGAATTAGGTTAAGTTTGAAATTGTCAAAAAAGTAAGAATTTCAAAAAATCACCACATCCATATTTTTAAGAGTTAAGAAACGATTTATATCTCAAATTGAAGATTAAAGCTTCTATTTTAACATGGTGTATGATATATAGGGTGTTTGATTAAAATTTTTTTTAGAAAAAGACGTTTGAAGAAATGTAGTTTGAATTAGGTTAAATTTGAAATTGTCAAAAAAGTGAGAATTTCAAAAAATCACCACGTCTATATTTTTAAGAGTTAAGAAACAATTTATATTTCAAATTAAATATTAAAGCTTCTATTTTAAGATGGTCTATGATATATGGGGTGTTTGATTAAAATATGCCGCCAAGGTCATTTACGGCCGAGGTGCTACAAGCAATTTTTAGTTTATAATCAACAAGCATGGATTTTTTTCCCTTTATATTTCGAAAGATTAAAACATTGAGTTAATAACGCTTACATTGTTACACATTTTTATTATACCTACTAATAATATAAGATGTTGACTTACAAAGATTGCGAAAGAAATCTGGATAAGCCGATTTTAGCTCCGATCTTATTGGTTTTGAGCCCCTCGAAAATGTCCATTTTTAATTTTTACCACTCAACAACACAAAATTTATTAAAATTAATTATTAATTATTTTTGATTTAATCAATTTAGAGAATTTATCACAAATTTTTTTATCACCTTTTTTCGATTATAACGTAATTAATTAATAAAAAAAAAATGAAATAAAAGATTTTATTTAAGATAATCGACGTTTATGGGGGAAATTCTTACTTTGATGGGGATTCTCTTTGATGTCGGAAACGATGTGCGTCGAATATATAATGATGTTATTGAAAATTGCACTTAATATTTTTTTTATCTTTTCATTTATGCTTTTATTATCGTTATTATTATCATATTTAATAATAAATCTATTAATATAAACATTTTTTCAACGATATTAACGAACAAGTTACGTAACAAACAACAAACAACACCAACAATTAATTTTTTTTATTAATTTGTTTTTATTTTAACTCGTTTAGAACAGCCGATTATGTTCGAATGAAGAAGAAATGGGTTTTAAATAATATTTAGTTATTTGAGAAATACAGGGTGATTTTTTTAGGGGTGATCATCGAAGAAGAGCGACTTGACGAGATAGCTACAGACGGAAGACTGAATCGTTCTCTGTAGCTGGTGCTGCTGGGGTGGGTCAAAATATTGTATTAGCGCCATCTCTCTCCCGCGCAACCCTCTCCCTCCCACTCGTATTGTGTTGGTACTTGGTGAGAAAGCTCGTGCAGCTTTAATGATGTTGCCATAGTGACCGCAAGTTTCGACCGGAATTTTTCCCGTTAATATTTTTTTTTCTGAATTTTTCGAATTTTGAATAATATATTTTTTTTAATTCTCACATCCATTAATAATTAATAATTAAATCGATAGAAATAATAATAAATCAAGCTCAGCACGTGTTTAATTAATTTTCGGTTATCTTCTGGGACCATATGGCGATGACGATGTGGTGTGAGGAAATTTTGCTAAATGTGGAGGAATTGGGAAACTGCAAAGATTGCACTTTTTTGTTTGATTTAAATCATAATTTATAATATAAGTATGAATTTAAATCAAATTTTTATTACTATTAAAGATAGGAAACAATTTGAAGTAAACACAAACAAATTAGAGACCTCCAAATAAACCCTACTCAAAAATCCACTCCAAGTTTAAAGTCTTTAAAGACGTTCTATTCTTTCGTTTAGTTTCGTTTCGTTTCGACCTCTTTTCCAAATATATTCCGAGCACTTTACAAGTTTCCCGAAAAACTTCCTCCATAAACATCAACGTAAATTTTCGTTGAGACTTGAATGAATACTTGAATAATTTTACTATTTTTAGGACAGAGTTATTAATTAATTAATTTCCCTCTGAATAGTAAGGTAACAATATTTGATAGATTTTCAACATTTCTTAAACGCTTTTATCTAAAAATTTTTTTAATCAAACACCTTATATATCACACACCATCTTAAAATAGAAGCTTTAATCTTCAATTTGAGATATAAATCGTTTTCTAACTCTTAAAAATGCGGACGTGGTGATTTTTTGAAATTCTTACTTTTTTGACAATTTCAAACTTAACCTAATCAAACAACATTTCTTCAAACGCCTTTTTCTAAAAAAATTTTTAATCAAACACCTAACATATCATATATCATCTTAAAACAGAAGCTTTAATCTTCAATTTGAGATATAAATCGTTTCTTAACTCTTCAAAATGTGGACGTGGTGATTTTTTGAAATTCTTACTTTTTTGACAATATCAAACTTAACCTAATTCAAACAACATTTCTTCAAACGCCTTTTTCTAAAACAATTTTTAATCAAACACCCTACATATCATACACCATCTTAAAATAGAAGCTTTAATCTTCAATTTGAGATATAAATCGTTTTCTAATTCTTAAAAATGTGGACGTGGTGATTTTTTGAAATTCTTACTTTTTTGACAATTTCAAACTTAACCTAATTCAAACAACATTTCTTCAAACGCCTTTTTCTAAAAAAAATTTTAATCAAACACCCTACATATCATACACCATCTTAAAATAGAAGCTTTAATCTTCAATTTGAGATATAAATCGATTCCTAACTCTTAAAAATATGGACGTGGTGATTTTTTGAAATTCTTACTTTTTTGACAATTTCAAACTTAACCTAATTCAAGCAACATTTCTTCAAACGCATTTTTCTGAAAACATTTTTAATCAATCACCTAACTTATCATATATCATCATAAAATAGAAGCTTTAATCTTCAATTTGAGATATAAATCGTTTTTGGCTACCCAAATTTATGTGTCCATAAAATCTTTAAGTACATTCTAAGTATTAATGAGCAAAATAGTGTCGATTTAAGCCATTTTAAATAAAACCAATAGATTTTTCGATGTTGCAACTCTTTTAGAATCAAACACAAAATTTCGATTTTGAAAATTTTTATGTCCATTAAGTTTTTAAGTCAATATTTAGTATTTAGAAGCAAAACTAAGCTGATTCTTGTTATGTTTAATCACACCAATAGATTTCCCGATCTTAAAATGCATTTGGAATGAAATACAATATTTCAATTTTAAAAATTTTTATGTCCATAAAGTTTTTAACTCAATATTTAGTATTTAGAAGCAAAACTAAGCAGATTCTTGTTGTTTTTAATCACACCAATAGATTTCCCGATCTTAAAATTCATTTGGAATTAAATACAAAATTTCAATTTTGAAAATTTTTATGTCCATAAAGTTTTTAAGTCAATATTTAGTATTTAGAGGCAAAATTAAGTCAATTCATATCATTTTTAATCACACCAATATATCATTAATATCATAATAATATCATTTTGACTACATCATTACAAGTTATTAACTGCAATTTAAGTTTGAATTCAAAAAGTGGGCATAATTTGACATCTATTTCATGAAAATGACAGCGAGAAGAATTGACACGTCGAAACCGTCTTATTTTATTCTTTTCGATGAATGGGTTTAAAGAAAACCGATTTGGTGAAGTTCACGTTTCCCATCGCGTGTGTGCTTTCGAGGAGAGCACTTTCGTGTCGGCGGATTTAAACGATTTCGTTTAAATCGAACGAAAAATAAAAATATTTTTATTTAAATTTTTCTTTATTCTTAGAAGTTAATTAAAAAAGTGACGTTTAATTTATAAAGACATGTTCTTTTAATTAAACGAGTCTCCTTCGCAAAGCGTTAAGAGACAATTTGAATTTTAAAAAGCAACAACAACTTTTCAGTCATTTTAATATTTGAAATTGTGATTGAAAGAAATAAAAAGGAGTAATCTTTGGTCGTAAAAACTCTTTTTATTTTTAGTATCCTTTCTTAAAGGATATTTCGAAAAGCCACAACACAAAATCCGGATTTTCAACGTTACGAGGCCTTTTTTCTCCGTTTCGACGTCTTTTATGACGTAAATCCGCCTCCCATTCACATTTTCTAATGGCCCAGCTTGAAAAACTTAACGATATGTCTATATCTTTAAAGGTTAACCCCATTTCTTTTTTTTTTACTTCAAATATATTAATTTTTTAATTACTCACCCTAAGGTTTTCGTTGATATCAGTGGCGTTTTTAAACTTAGGAACCCGTTGATTCTCGATTTTTTCTCCTGAGGGGCCGTTTCGTTCCTTTGAGGCGTCTCGGCCATATCTTCTTCGTCGTCGTCGCGCTTGCGACGTCTTTTATGGAAGAAATAACAAGCGGCTCCGATGCCCGCGATCAAAATTAACGCGGCCAAACTGGAGAAGACCGCCGTTAAAATTATCTCGCGTTTTCGCATCATCAACTAGAAAAGAACATTTTTTTAATTAGGTGTACTTAATTAAAATTTAGGTGATTAATGTACAGTTAAGCAAAAAAATAATGCAGAATACAATTATCAATTTTTTAATTTCCCTCTAAATTTCCTAGTTATTGTTTGTATCAAAATATTTTTCAAATAACACTTGTTAAGAATTAAGAAAGGAACAACTTTTGTAGGCACTATTTTTTAAAATTATCAATTTTCTAATTTCTTTCTGAAGAGTATGGTAATGGAATTCCAGATTATCTTCTAAATTATTGTTGCTATCAAAATATTTTTCAAATAAAACTTGTTAAGAATTAAAAAAGGAACAACTTTTGTAGGCACTATTTTACTAAATTATCAAGTATTTAATTTCCCTCTGAATAGTATAGTAATGGAAATTCCAGATTATCTTCCTAATTATTGTTTGTATCAAAATATTTTTCAAATAAAACTTGTTAAGAATTAAAAAAGGAACAACTTTTGTAGGCACTATTTTACTAAATTATCAAGTATTTAATTTCCCTCTGAATAGTATAGTAATGGAAATTCCAGATTATCTTCCTAATTATTGTTTGTATCAAAATATTTTTCAAATAAAACTTGTTAAGAATTAAGAAAGGAACAACTTTTGTAGGCACTATTTTGCAAAATTTTCAAATATTTTATTTCCCTCTGAAGAGTATGCTAATGGAATTCCAGATTATCTTCCAAACTATTGTTTCTATCAAAATAACTTTCAAATAAAACTTGTTAAGAATTACAAAAGGAACATCTTTTGTAGGCACTATTTTGTAAAATTATCACTTTTTAATTTCCCTCTGAACAGTATAGTAATGGAATTCCAGATTATCTTCTTAATTATTGTTTGTATCAAAATATTTTTCAAATAAAACTTGTTAAGAATTAAAAAAGGAACAACTTTTGTAGGCACTATTTTACAAAATTATCAATTATTTAATTTCCCTCTGAACAGTATAGTAGTGGAAATTCCAGATTATCTTAATAATTATTGCTTGTATCAAAATATTTTTCAAATAAAACTTGTTAAGAATTAAGAAAGGAACAACTTTTGTAGGCACTATTTTGCAAAATTTTCAAATTTTTTGTTTCCCTCTGAAGAGTATGGTAATGGAATTCTAGATTATCTTCCAAATTATTGTTTCTATCAAAATATTTTTCAAATAAAACTTGTTAAGAATTAAAAAAGGAACAACTTTTGTACGCACTATTTTGCAAAATTATCAATTATTTAATTTCCCTCTGAATAGTATAGTAATGGAAATTCCAGATTATCTTCCTAATTATTGGTTGTATCAAAATATTTTTCGAATAAAACTTGTTAAGAATTAAAAAAGGAACAACTTTTGTAGGCACTATTTTGCAAAATTTTCAAATTTTTATTTCCCTCTGAAGAGTATGATAATGGAATTCCAGATTATCTTCCAAATTATTGTTTTTATCGAAACATTTTTCAAATACAATCTGTTAAGAATTAAAAAAGGAACAACTTTTGTAGGCACTATTGTGCAAAATTATCAATTTTTTAATTTCCCTCTGAATAGTATAGTAATGGAAATTCCAGATTATCTTCCTAATTATTGTTTGTATCAAAATATTTTTCAAATAAAACTTGTTAAGAATTAAAAAAGGGACAACTTTTGTAGGCACTATTTTGCAAAATTATCAATTATTTAATTTCCCTCTGAATAGTATAGTAATGGAAATTCCAGATTATCTTCCTAATTATTGTTTGTATCAAAATATTTTTCAAATAAAACTTGTTAAGAATTAAGAAAGGAACAACTTTTGTAGGCACTATTTTGCAAAATTATCAATTATTTAATTTCCCTCTGAATAGTATAGTAATGGAAATTCCGGATTATCTTCCTAATTATTGTTTGTATCAAAATATTTTTCAAATAAAACTTGTTAAGAATTAAAAAAAAAACAACTTTTGTAGGCACTATTTTGCAAAATGTTCAAATTTTTTGTTTCCCTCTGAAGAGTATGATAATGGGATTCCAGATTATCTTCCAAATTATTGTTTTTATCAAAATATTTTTCAAATACAATCTGCTAAGAATTAAAAAAGGAACAACTTTTGTAGGCACTATTGTGCAAAATTATCAATTTTTTAATTTCCCTCTGAACAGTATAGTAATTGAATTCCAGATTATCTTCCGAATTATTGTTTCTATCAAAATAACTTTCAAATAAAACTTGTTAAGAATTAAAAAAGGAACAACTTTTGTAGGCACTATTTTGCAAAATTATCAATTTTTTAATTTCCCTCTGAACAGTATAATAATGGAATTCCAGATTATCTTCCAAATTATTGTTTTTATCAAAATATTTTTCAAATAAAACTTGTTAAGAATTAAAAAAGGAACAACTTTTGTAGGCACCATTTTTTAAAATTATCAATTTTCTAATTTCCCTCTGAAGAGTATGGTAATGGAATTCCAGATTATCTTCCAAATTATTGTTGCTATCAAAATATTTTTCAAATAAAACTTGTTAAGAATTAAAAAAGGAACAACTTTTGTAGGCACTATTTTGCAAAATTATCAATTATTTAATTTCCCTCTGAATAGTATAGTAATGGAAATTCCAGATTATCTTCCTAATTATTGTTTGTATCAAAATATTTTTCAAATAAAACTTGTTAAGAATTAAAAAAGGAACAACTTTTGTAGGCACTATTTTACAAAATTATCAATTATTTAATTTCCCTCTGAATAGTATAGTAATGGAAATTCCAGATTATCTTCCTAATTATTGTTTGCATCAAAATATTTTTCAAATAAAACTTGTTAAGAATTAAAAAAGGAACAACTTTTGTAGGCACTATTTTGCAAAATTATCAATTATTTAATTTCCCTCTGAACAATGTAGTAATGGAAATTCCAAATTATCTTGCTAATTATTGTTTGTATCAAAATATCTTTCAAATAAAACTTGTTAAGAATTAGAAAAGGAACAACTTTTGTAGGCACCATTTTTTAAAATTATTAATTTTTTAATTTCCCTCTGAACAGTACAGAAATAAAATTCAAGATTATTTTCCTAATTATTGTTTGTATCAAAATATTTTTCAAATAAAACTTGCTAAGAATCAAAAAAGGAGCAACTTTTGTCGGCACCATTTTTAAAAATTATCAATCCTTAATTAGGTATCTACACTTCATTAAAATTGACGTGACTAATGTACAGTTAAGCAAAAAAATAATGTTTTTTTCGTTAAAACAATTTTTTTTGATATCGATTGCTGAATACAAATTTCGAACGGACAATGTTACAATGTGACAAGGGAGGTAATAAATCATGGGATAATACACCAAACGCGGCGTTACAATCGAGCGGTAAAGCGCGAAATTTCCCTATACATATAGAATGACGCTATAAACATAGATGACAACTCGGGTGTATTCGTAGAACACAATACATAAATAGAACCACTTCGAAAGGGGCACTTTGTATGCGAAATGTATAAAATATAAACAGTAAATTTCAAGTAAGTGTCAAATACAAACAGGGTACTCAAATTTGATGTTTTACAAGTTTTTAAACAGTTCGAATGGTGTTTTAAACACAAAAAGAACAAAACGTCCATCTCGTTTGTTTGAGTTTATTCGTTGCAAACACGGTAAATTTCCACAAATCTCTGAATCGCGCCGGATATCCGAAAATATGTAAACAGCGCTAAAAACACATTGAAAGTTTTGTATTTTTTTTATTATCTTTTTTATTATTCATAAATCATAACCTATCCGAACATTTTATGGTGAATACGACCTAAAAATAAAATGAGACAAACTTCCGGTTTCAATTAACATTAATATACTATATATAAACATGGAAAAATAATTTATTATTCACAATCCAACGCAGATTTAATAAGAAATGGGTGTTTCGAAGATATATTTTTTAATTATTATAAGTTCTTTCGGGAATTGTTTTATAACAAAAATTAACCGCGGGATTATAACACCGGATGTTGTCCAAAATCCAACATTGGCACCAATTGTATCAACCACAGCAATTAATTCCGGTGTTATTTCGATTGTAAGCAGTGTTAATATATCCGGATTCGGTGTTGCCACACAATTTCCGGTTAATATATCGAATTCAATACCCGCTTTGGTTAAAAGGGATTCAAAAGAAATCGCATCCGGCGAAAAGATTCACTTGAGGAGAAAAAAATTTTCTTCTGAAGAGTCCAACGAATCAAGAGAACCAAAAAAAAGAGCCGGGTGTAGGCTAAGATATAATAAAAATCGTTCAACAACAACAACAATTAGATCGACGTTAACAACAATAAGTAGTAAGCAAAAATTATTTAAAAAATAAAATTTTTAATTTAAATTACTTTAGTTACACCACTTCCTACAATCGATCCGAGAAGAATTGGGTCCCCAAATCAAACGGAAATCGTTCCATAACAACATTTTTATATGTTATTTAATAAAATGTTAAAATTTTAATTTTTTATTAACTCCATTCGATAGGAAATAAAAAATCCTTTAAAATGAGCCCAAACACAAATAATTTACCTCTAAAAATAACCGAGATATCGCCGGAAATAACCAAAAAAACAATCGAAGATCGCCATTTTTTAAATCGTCGTATCTCCCTTGTTTTTTGAGATAAATACTTCGTGTTTGGGCTCATTTCCAACGATTTTTAATTTTGAATCTTATCGTGCATCTTTAAAAAAAAAAAATTAAAAAAGAAAAATGCGGAAGTTGATAACCGGAAGTCGATGAAATTCGATTATTTAAATTAATTTTGAGGTTATCTTAATTTATTTAAAATTTTGAAGGTAAATTAACTTTAAAATAAAGTTTACATAACCTCAAAATCGTATATTTTCGCTTATTAATTAATAAAATTTTTTAATTTTAATTTTTTATCAATTTCATTCAATAGAAAATAAAAAATCCTTTGAAATGAGTCCAAACACGAATAATTTATCTCTAAAGATAACCGAGATATCACCGGAAATAACCAAAAAAACAATCGAAAATCGCCATTTTTTAAATTGTCGTATCTCCCTTGTTTTTTGAGATAAATACTTCGTGTTTGGGCTCGTTTCCAACGATTTTTAATTTTGAATCTTGTGTATCTTTAAAAAAATTTAATTTAAAAAAAGCGGAAGTTGATAACCGGAAGTCGATGAAACTCGGGCATGTTATTTAAATTAATTTTGAGGTTACCTTAATTTATTTAAAATTAAACTTTTTAAATTAAAATAAGTTTTAAATAAAATTGACATAACCTCAAAATCGCATATTTTCGCTTATTAATTAATACAAATTTTTAATTTTAATTTTTTATCAATTGCATTTAATAGGAAATAAAAAATCCTTTAAAATGAGTCCAAACAAGAATAATTTATCTTTAAAAATAACCAAGATATCACCGGAAGTAACTAAAAAAACAATCGAAGATCGCCATTTTTTAAATCGTCGTATCTCCCTTGTTTTTTGAGATAAATACTTCGTGTTTGGGCTCATTTCCAACGATTTTTAATTTTGAACCTTATCGTGCATCTTTAAAAAAATTTAATTTAAAAAAAGCGGAAGTTGATAACCGGAAGTCGATTAAATTGGGTTTTCTATAATAGGTTATTTAAATTAATTGTGAGGTTATGTTCATTTATTCAAAATTAAACTTTTTAAATTAAAATAAATTTCTAATAAAGTTTACATAACCTCAAAATCGCGTATTTTAGCTTATTAATTGATAAAATTTTTAATTTTAATTTTTTATTAATTTCATTCAATAGGACATAAAAAATCCTTTAAAATGAGTCCAAAGACGGAAAATTTACCTCTAAAAATAGGCGAGATATAACCGGAAGTAAATAAAAAAACAATCGAAGATCACTATTTTTAAAATTGTCATATCTTCCTCGTTTTTTGAGATAAATACTTCGTGTTTGGGCTCATTTCCAACCATTTTTGATTATGAATCTTATCGTGAATCTTTAAAAAAAATTAATTAAAAAAAAAAGCGGAAGTTGATAACCGGAAGTCGATGAAACTCGGGCATGTTATTTAAATTAATTTTGAGGTTATCTTAATTTATTCAAAATTAAACTTTTTAGGTTAATATAAGTTTCAAATTAAATTAAGATAACCTCAAAATCCCATATTTTCGCTTATTAATTAATAAAAATTTTTAATTTTAATTTTTTATCAATTTCATTTAATAGGAAATAAAAAATCCTTTAAAATGAGTCCAAACAAGAATAGTTTATCTCTAAAAATAACCGAGATATCATCGGAAATAACCAAAAAAACAATTGAAGATCTCTATTTTTAAAATTGTCGTATCTCCCTTGTTCTTTGAGATAAATACTTCGTGTTTGGACTCATTTCCAACGATTTTTAATTTTGAATCTTATCGTGTATCTTTAAAAAAAAATTAATTAAAAAAAAGCGGAAGTTGATAACCGGAAGTCGATTAAATTTGTTAATTTTTTAATAGGTTGTTTAAATAAATTGTGAGGTTATCTTAATTTATTCAAAATTAAACTTTTTAGGTTAAAATAAAATTGACATAACCTCAAAATCGCATATTTTCGCTTATTAATTAATAAAATTTTTTAATTTTAATTTTTTATTAATTTCAATTAATAGGAAATAAAAAATCCTTTAAAATGAGTCCAAACACGGATAATTTATCTTTAAAAATTAACGGAATAACGTAATTTTTAATGTTGTTTTTTAGGTTATGTTTCAAACCGGAAGTTGTTCATTTTTAGAGATAAACCCATCGTGTTTGGGCTTATTTTAAAGGATTTTTAACCGAGATTCTAATTCTTTAAAAATAAAATCATTTCAATAAACTTCATTTTACACATAACCTAAAATGACAACCAAAAAAAATTTCTCGTTTTATTATTAAATTATTTTAATTTTTTATCATTAATTATTAATATGAAATAATTTAATTAAATTTATTGAATAATTAATCATTGTTTAATAATTATTATTATTTTCAGAAAAATTTTGGCGAAAAATCGATCACAAATTTGAAATTCACCGCGCAAAATCGCCGCGCATGCGCATTGTCACAATCATCTATTGACATTTCCTTCACAACGTATAGATAGGTTAAGTTTCATTTTGAAAAGGAAATCGATTTAAACCAAATTTTCGAGGATGTTTCGCGTTCCTAGCGATGAAATGACATCATTAGTGAAACTCTTGGTTCATAATTTAACAGGATTCGAAGTAAGAAATAAATTAACTCGAAACAATTTAATAAACAAAAATCCTAACCTCACTTTTTAATCACAATTTTATTTCGTTTTTATTCAAATTAATTCGTTTTTTTTTCATTGCAGGAGGAAACACCAGTATTTATAGCATGCACCGATTACATTTTAACAAACCTACAAAAAGCGGAAAGTTTATTCTTCTTAAAAAAGACGGATATCGACGTTCAAATATTCGGACAAGCCGACAAATTTGAATTCCACGGTTTTAAACCACAAGCTGAAGAACTCCGCAAGAATTACGCCCGATTCATACCCGAATCTCTCCCAAAATCAGAGCTCCACCACAAATTAATGATAATGAAGTTTTTAATTTGTTTATCGGAGAGCCCAACGAAATCGTTTTTAGAAAATCCTGATCGAGGTAAAGTTTTGGTTGATGAAAGTGAAGAAGAAATCGATTGGGGGGTTGTTTTAAGGGAGGGATGCGAGAAGTGGTCACCTAATTATTCCTCGAGTTCGGTAAGGAGATAATTTAACAATTTTGATGTATCATAACCTCAAAAAAAAATTTTTTTTTAATATTTAGGATGAATGGAGTGATGATTCAACTCAAATCGATTCAGACACCATCCAAAACACCCAATTCGACGAAATATCTCGCATCAAAAATGATTTGGACGTCTCAAAACATGAAAATGAGAAGTTAAATTATGAAGAGGTTTGTAAGAAACTTTCCGGTTTGGTTCAAAATGGTTGGTTTAATCGAAATGGGGTTCAAGAAGTTCCTGAAACCACTAATATTGATGGAAATGTTGCGTTTTCTTGGTGAGTTAAAAAAGTTAATTAATTTTTTGTTGATTTTTAAAATTTAAAGGGATGAATTTGTCCGAGAAACGACCCATGGTCTTTTAGATCAACACTCAAAGATTATCACTGAGTATAAAGTGATGAGGGAGATTATTTGGCAACTTTTAATCGCGCATTCATCAACTTGCTTCGATTATGATGGAAAATTCGTTTGTGCCAAAGAAAATGTTACAATTTCGAGCGTTCGATCGGTAAATAATCTTAAAATAACATCTAAAAAAAACTTTTTTGACACTAAAAGGCGATCTTTATTGATTTTTTGGTCTAAAATTATAAAAAAATTTCCATCACCTTTAGTTTTTTAGGTTAGGTTAAATTAAATGTCAAAATAATAGAATGAAGTTGGTTATGAAAGTAACTAACTTCATTTTATTATTTTTACAGAAAACTACCTCAAAAAAAATCGTTTAATAATTATTTTGAAACTAAAAGGCGGTCTTTATTGATTTTTGGGGGAAAAATATCTTCTAACCATGCTTGTCATAATTCTCCAGACAATTTTTGTTACATTTGTGGTGAACTTGTCATTAAAAGTTAAATGTCAAAATGAGTCCAAACTCGACGTATTTAACTTTAATATTAATGGAAATAAAATCACTTCCGGTTTAAAACGTCAATTTTGACGTATTTGTCATCTTCATTAAAAAAGCTTTAAAATGTGTCCAAAGATGACGTACCTATCTTAATTTAGCAACAATGATACCAACTTAATTTTTAAATATTAATACCAACCTTAATTTAAAATTTTTTTTATTAAATTTTTGTTTTTGTGACAAATTTTAAGACATTTTATAAAAATTATGAATATGTCAAAATGACATTGACATTTCAAACCGGAAGTTGCTTATATCTCGAGTAATATTGGAATTAAACGTATCAAGTTTGGACTCATTTTAAAGGATTTTTCATAACGATTACAAATATATCAAAATTGACGTTGACATTCTTAACCGGAAGTTGACCATAACCTCATTAATATTGAAGATAAATATGTCGTGTTTGTACTCATTTTAAAGGATTTTCAATGGAGATTACAAATATGTCAAAATTGAGGTTGATATTTTAAACCTGAAGTTAGTTATCATATTAAATTTTGTCTTCCCCCTATTCACATCAAGTAAGGATTCATGAAACAATTCGTCAAAGTTTTACCACATTTGTGAGAGGCATTTTTGTGGTCCTGACATGCGTAAATTAAATATTTGATGAGAAATTTCAGTGCACAATGTCAGGTGTTGAAAGAGAAGCTTGGAATGCTTTCAAAAAGGTGATCGCTAGATATTTAGGGAATTAAAAAGACCCTGGAAACCTTATAAACTTTTTATGATTAGGAGAAGGAGATATCAGAGTAGTTGGAACGTCAGGATGATTAGTGACTACTACTGGTCACTTCATTCTTCTACAATTTCTGCAAATTGGTTGAAAAAGATGCTGCACATATTAGATAACTGATTCCAGAAAGTTCAAAATCAGTTCTAAGTATTTAGACAACGTTGAGGTTAGACTTTATTCTATTGTCATACTTAAAACTATGCAAGTTGGTAGGAAAAGATGCAGTACATATTAGGTAACTGTTTCCAGAAAGTTCAAAATCAATTCTAAGTGTTTAGACAACGTTGAGGTTGGTGTTATTGAAAGCTGCGTTTTAAAACAAATTTAGCTTATGATTAGATCCGTCCCATTTGCATTATTACATCTTTTGGCAAATGTGGGTTGGTCATTATAGATAAGATTAAGATAAAATATCTCTTTGCAAGAGACAAAACTGAAAAAATGTGTCATATTTTGACGTTTGTAAGCTTTGTTGATTCTTAACCCCATAAATTTTCGTTTCTAACCTATTGCATCGTAAAGGAAATTAAAAATCCTTTAAAATGAGTCCAAACTCGACCTATTTACGATAATATAAAAATTACGTTAAAATAAAACAAAATGGCGGATTTTTTATTGATTCCTAACCTAACTTTTTTAATTTTTATCGGAAATTAGTTGTGTTTGGTATCAAATTAAAGAGATTTTGGTGAAGATTAAGAATATAATGTAAAGAAATAAGAAAAAAAAAATTTTAATAAAAAAAATTCGTTATTAATTTTTTAAAATCGTTTTTAACCAATTGCATCGTAAAGGAAATTAAAAATCCTTTAAAATGAATCCAAACTCGACATATTTACGAAAATATTGAAATTACGTCAAGAAAAACAAAATGGCGGTCTTTTGTTAAATTCTTAACCTAATATTTTATTTTTTAACCTAAATAGGTGATGGAAATTAAAAGATTTTTGTTTCTTATTACGATTATTTCAACATTTATCATAAAATAATTAAATTCGATTTTGACATTTGACAGATTCTAACCTAACTTTTTCATTTTTTAACCTAAATAGGTCATGTTTGGTATTAAATTAAAAGCTTTTTGATTCTTATTACGATCATTTCAACTTTTATCAAAAAATAATTAAATTCGATTTTGACATTTGACAGATTCTAACCTAACTTTTTCATTTTTTAACCTAAATAGGTCATGTTTGGTATCAAATTAAAAGATTTTTGATTCTTATTACGATTATTTCAACTTTTATCAAAAAATAATTAAATTCGATTTTGACATTTGACAGATTCTAACCTAACTTTTTCATTTTTTAACCTAAATAGGTCGTGTTTGGTATCAAATTAAAAGATTTTTGATTCTTATTGCAATTATTTCAACTTTTATCAAAAAATAATTAAATTCGATTTTGACATTTGACAGATTCTAACCTAACTTTTTCATTTTTTAACCTAAATAGGTCGTGTTTGGTATTAAATTAAAGCTTTTTTGATTCTTGTTAATATTATTTTAATATTTATCAATTAATTTGGTTTTGACATTTGACAGTTTCTTACAACTTTTTCATTTTTTAACCTAAATAGGTCGTATTTGGTATCAAATTAAAGCATATTTCTTGCTCATTAAGATTATAACATCTATCAAAAAATAATTAAATTCTTGATAGTGTTAGTTCTAGTTTTAATTTAATAAAAATATACGACATAGTAATATTGTTTGTTAAAAATGATTTGCTGCGTTTTCAAGAATTACTATTAATATTTTAACACTTTTATTGAGAAAGTGTAAGCCATAGACATTATTTCTATGCTTTCTAGTTCCAACCTCTAACAAAAAAACGAAATCATGTTTGTAATCATGTTTTTAGGTTTAAGGTGTCGATAAGGTAGAACACTATAATAATAAAAACCGCTAGATTTCTATAACAAACATCTTGTGCTAACTAGCGCTACCTACCACTGCCACTAGAACTAACACTAGACCGAGAACTAGAGGTGATGGATTTAAAAACTGTTAGATCACCCTAAATAACCTAAAAAGTTTTTGTGAAACTAATTTTTGCAGATCTCTGTAATTAAGTCAAAATTATTTTTTTAAATTTTAGGTTGCTTTCGCCGATTTTTTATCCGAATTTACAAAAACCATCAATACATTGCATTCATTCCGAGATTTTCGAAATTCTTTCAACGAAAACGAACGATATCCCGGAATATACATAACCTATTCGGAATGTGTCAAGGAGATTCTTTCCCCGTTTATGAACGAAATCGTTACTATTGAAGACGAAATTCGCAAACAAGGTACAATTAAGGACTTTATTATAATGCGATTGATAAATTTATTAATTTTCTCTTTAAGATTCGAAAATGACACTTTTAAAACTTTCGCATAAACTCCGAAATTTATCCGAGAACGTTTCAATTTTAAAGAGGATCCACGACGAGGTTATAATCGATTATAAGACGAATGATCCTTTAAAATGCGCGACTAATTTGCTTTCGAAGTTACGATATGGTTTGGCTAATAACATAACCTCAAAAATTGAATTGGATGTTTATTTAACGCTGTATGTGGGGTCTTTGCGGCGATATCTCCAAATTATTTATTGGTGGTTCAATAATGATCAGTTAAAGGATGATTATGACGAATTTATTGTTGGGGCGTAAGTTTTTTTTTGTATTAATTTAATTATTTTAGGTTAATTTTTTCTTTTTTTGTAGGCAAAGTGATTCGGAAAGTGATTTAAAATTGAAATCGGGTTACTCGGTGGGATCGAACAGCGTTTTTTGCCTTTATAGCTACGAGAGGTGAGTGATTAATTAATTAATTTTAAAATAAAAATTCAAATTTTATCTAAAAGAACATTAAAAGTCCTTTAAAATGATACCAAACACGATATGGTTATGTTAAAAAACAAAAAAGTTATCGCAGTTTTGTTTTTGACAGAACCAAAAAAACAATTGACGATCGTTTTTTATAAACGCCCATAACTCCCGTATTTATTAAGATAATGAGGTGGTGTTTGGACTTAAATTAATCAAACTTTTGTGTAGATTTCATTTTTTCAATAATAACTTTATTTTTTTTAACATCATCGAAGAACTGTCAAAAATGAAATGTCAAAAAATACGATTCAATTTGATGTTGCGACGTAAAATCGAATAAATCACGGTGAATCTCTATAGTTTTATAATCAACATCGATTTTTAAAATGAAATAGGATTCTAATTTCGAATGAAAAATCAACATTGTTGAAATTTTAATTTTAACTTTATGATCATTGAAAAGAAAATGAAAAATCCTTTAAACTGATACCAAACTCGATGAGGTTATCTTTAAAAACAAAGAAGTTATGACACTTTTTGTTTTGACAGAAACAAAAAATAATTGACGATCGTTTTCTTTAACCACCTATAACTCCCTTATTTATTAAGATAATGATATGGTGTTTGGACTTAAATGAAGCGAAATTTTATGTAGATTTCGTTTTTTTAATAATAAATTTAATTATTTTTTTTGTTTTAGTATCGACTCCGATTTGGATAAAAACGATTCTTCCCGATACTTTTACAAAAAAGATTTCGACGAGTCGTTATGGGACAATTTTTTCGGGATCATATCGACGAAAGTGGTCGAAATTGGGAATAACATCCGATTTTTGAGGAAATTGGGGAAAATCACTCTTTTAAACTCAAAAATTTCAAGTAATTTTTTAACTTTATTATTAATTTTTTTTTAATTAACCCCTTACTGCATGATTTTTTATATTTAATTGAAAATAAGTCTATTACACTACTTAACCTACTCAGAAATCCGCTCACAAATCATTGAAAATATACGAAATTTTAATTTCCCACTGAATAGTACAAAAATTTAGGACATTTCAAAGCAAATTATAGTTTTAATCGAAAAATGTTTTATATAATAATTGTTCAAAATGCAATTTAAAATCGATTATTTTAATAAAAAATTTTGGTGGCGCTGTATACTGATATGCATATTAATATTTTTGAGATTATCTAAGTAATTATTGACCGTATCAATTTTTTTTATAAAAAATTCTTGTTTAGAATTAAATTAGGAACAACTTTCCTTAATGAAATTTTTTAAAATAACGAAATTTTATTTTCCCACTGAATAGTACATTTTTATATCGTTGCTATATCTTAATAATTATTGATCTTATCGATTTTTTTTTATAAACAATTCTTGTTTAGAATTAAATTAGCAACAACTTTCCTTAATGAAATTTTTTAAAATAATGAAATTTTAATTTCCCACTGAATAGTACATTTTTATATCGTTGCTATATCTTAATAATTATTGATCTTATCGATTTTTTTTATAAACAATTCTTGTTTAGAATTAAATTAGGAACAACTTTCCTTAATGAAATTTTTTAAAATAACGAAATTTTAATTTCCCACTGAATAGTACATTTGTATATCATTGCTATATCTTAATAATTATTGATCTTATCGATTTTTTTTATAAACAATTTTTGTATAGAATTAAATTAGCAACAACTTTCATTAATGAAATTTTGTAAAATAACTAAATTTCAATTTCCCACTGAATAGTATGTTTACCTATATCATAAAAATTTATGACATTTCAGGCACACTATGCGATAAGGGGTTAATTAAAATAATTTTTTTAGGTGATATTTACGAAGATTTCATCGAGAGATTATTAAAAAAGATTCTTATTTACTTCAAAATCGAAATCGAGGTTGATTTAACCCCGACGGAGTCCCAACATAACCCCGATTTTTCCGCGATGTGCCCCGATTACGTAAAATATCCTTTAGACCTAGATAAATTGGAGAATGTAGTCCAAAAATCGAACGAATTTTTGATGGAAACGTTCAAACCGTTCTTTGAAACAAAAAATTTAAATCTACCCTCAAAAAAAAATTTATTCCAAGACATAAGGGGTGCAACAAAATCGGTTTTTCCCGCAGAAAAATTCGTGGATGAAGCATTCGAGGAGATACTCAATGAGCGTTATGGCCACTCAGGATATGTGATTCGAGATTTATTTAAATCCGAATATCGGATCGAGGAACATTTTGAGTTATTAAATCATTTGTATTTATTAAAAGATGGATTAATGACGTCGTGGTATCAACGCTTGTTTAAACAGATGGATGAAACTTCGAAAATTGAGAGCTCCATCTGGTTAACGGGGCGCTTACAAGATTTATTAATGGACTCATTTCCCGTTTTACACGAAAAGTGCTTCGTGAAAGTCTCCCAAGGCGGATTAAGGGGCACTCCGATTCAACACGCATTAAACGCTTGCAAATTAATCGAAATCGAATACGAAGTGGATTGGCCAATTAACGTGGTGATTCAAGATTATGATATTGAGATGTACAAAGAGGTGTTTCAGTTTATTTTGGAGGTTAAGTGGGCTCTTTATACGTTGACTCACATGTTTTTTGCAGGTAATTATTTAATTAATTCAAATAATACAGTGTGTTAATTAATTATCCTACCCAACGTTATTATTGCAAGTATGCAACTAATACCACAGTGAAATTTTAATTTCCCACTGAATAGTACGGTAGTATATCGTTGCTATATCTTAATAATTATTGACCGTATTGATTTTTTTTATAAACAATTCTTGTTTAGAATTAAATTAGCAACAACTTTCCTTAATGAATTTTTTTTAAATAACGAAGTTTTAATTTCCCACTGAATAGTACGTGGGTATACCTATATCACAAAAATTTAAGACATTTCAAAGCAAATTATAGTTTTAATCGAAAAATGTTTTATATAATAATTGTTCAAAATGCAATTTAAAATCGATTATTTTAATAAAAAAATTTAATAACTCCACCAGGTGGCGTTATATACTGGTATGCATATTAATATTTTTGAGATTATCCAAATAATTATTGACCGTATCGATTTTTTTTATAAACAATTCTTGTTTGGAATTAAATTAGGAACAACTTTCCTTAATGAAATTTTTTAAAATAACGAAATTTTAATTTCCCACTGAATAGTACATTTGTATACTGTTGCTATATCTTAATAATTATTGACCCTATCAATTTTTTTTATAAACAATTCTTGTTTAGAATTACATTAGCAACAACTTGCCTTAATGGAATTTTTTAATATAATGAAATTTTAATTTCCCACTGAATAGTACATTTTTATATCGTTGCTATATCTTAATAATTATGAACCGTATCGATTTTTTTTATAAACAATTTTTGTTTAGAATTACATTAGCAACAACTTTCCTTAATGAAATTTTTTAATATAATGAAATTTTAATTTCCCACTGAATAGTACATTTGCATATCATTGCTATATCTTAATAATTATTGACCCTATCGATTTTTTTTATGAACAATTCTTGTTTAGAACTACATTAGCAACAACTTTTCTTAATGGCGTTTATTAATATAATGAAATTTTAATTTCCCACTGAATAGTACATTTTTATATCGTTGCTATATCTTAATAATTATTGACCCTATCAATTTTTTTTATAAACAATTTTTGTTTAGAATTACATTAGCAACAACTTGCCTTAATGAAATTTTTTAAAATAACGAAATTTTAATTTCCCACTGAATAGTACATTTGTATATCATTGCTATATCTTAATAATTATTGACCGTATCGATTTTTTTTATAAACAATTCTTGTTTAGAATTAAATTAGGAACAACTTTCCTTAATGAAATTTTTTAATATAATGAAATTTTAATTTCCCACTGAATAGTACAATTTTATATCGTTGCTATATCTTAATAATTATTGACCGTATCGATTTTTTTTATAAACAATTCTTGTTTAGAATTAAATTAGGAACAACTTTCCTTAATGAAATTTTTTAAAATAACGAAATTTTAATTTCCCACTGAATAGTACAATTTTATATCGTTACTATATCTTAATAATTATTGACCGTATCAATTTTTTTTATAAACAATTCTTGTTTAGAATTACATTAGTAACAACTTTCCTTAATGAATTTTTTTAAATAACGATATTTTAATTTCCCACTGAATAGTACATTTGTATATCATTGCTATATCTTATTAATTATTGACCGTATCAATTTTTTTATAAACAATTCTTGTTTAGAATTAAATAAGGAACAACTTTCCTTAATGAAATTTTTTATAATAACGAAATTTTAATTTCCCACTGAATAGTACATTTGTATATCATTGCTATATCTTAATAATTATTGTCCGTATCGATTTTTTTATAAACAATTCTTGTTTAGAATTAAATTAGGAACAACTTTCCTTAATGAAAATTTTTAAAATAACGAAATTTTAATTTCCCACTGAATAGTACATTTGTATATCATTGCTATATCTTAATAATTATTCACCGTATCGATTTTTTTTTATAAACAATTCTTGTTTAGAATTAAATTAGGAACAACTTTGCTTAATGAAATTTTTTAAAATAATGAAATTTTAATTTCCCACTGAATAGTACAATTTTATATCATTGCTATATCTTCATAATTATTGACCGTATCGATTTTTTTTATAAACAATTCTTGTTCAGAATTAAATTAGGAACAACTTTCCTTAATGAAATTTTTTAAAATAACGAAATTTTAATTTCCCACTGAATAGTACATTTTTATATCGTTGCTATATCTCAATAATTATTGATCGTATCGATTTTTTTTATAAAAAATTCTTGTTTAGAATTACACTAGAAACAACTTTTCTTAATGGCGTATGTATTAATTATTTTTTTTAGATATTGAACCAAAAGTTAAAATAATAAAACAACACAAAGCTGTAACAATTTTATTGCGTCGATTAAAAGTGAGTCGATTTTGGTTAATAAATCAATTCAGTGGAATCCTACATTACATTTTTGGGGGAATTATCACGAATGCAAGCGTCAAATTTGAGAGGAGTTTGAGGGAAGCGTGCAGTTTGAGCACTTTATCGATGGCGCATCGAAATTTTATTAACGACATTCATAAATCGGCGATAACTTTAAAGGAGTATAACTCAAAATCTTTCGGGTTTAGTTATGTGAGTTAAAATGATTAATTAATTAATTGAATTTAATCAAATTTTGTTTTTAAGTTGTTGTATTTGGTGAATAAATTAAAAACCATGTGGAACAACTTGGAGAAAGTGGAAGAGCAAGAATTATCCAAGTTAGAGAAAAGTTACAAAATTTGTTACAAAAACCTAGAAAAAGTAATGAACTCCCAAATCCCAGAATTTCTATTAAATTAACGATTGTAAGTATCTAAATAAAGCTTGTTTTATTACAAAAATTTATTTTTCCCCCAAATCTTCATCAAAACTGGTTTAGATTTTAATGCTATGCATGGAGTTGTGATCTCTTGGGAATCCCACCTCTAACTTTAACCTTAACACCATTCTAGTTAATTCATAAACTTGATTCAACTCACGATTCTCTTCGCCTCGACGACGACATCATCACCGGAATCGGGGAAAGCTCGCCCCCCTTCCAAATATTGGCCCCCAACTCCCAAATAAACCATCTAAACCTCAATTAAAAAAATAATTTTTTAATTTAATTTTTATTTCGTTTCAAAAACATTTATTTTACCTTTATTATTTATTTATTTTCGCAGCGCTTTAAAAGCTTCAAGCTTCGATAATCCAATCGTGTTGGAAGCGAAAGCACTCAACTTCACAACGAGGGGTAAAGTGTTTTTGGGGTTCTTCGTTCGGGATCGTTCGGGGCGATTCGGGGTGGTTGACCCGAACGTTTCCGAAAACGCCCGAAATCATTTTGTAGGTTTAAAACTTTAAATATTCTACTTAAACTTTAAATTAATTTGTTTTTTAATCTTAATGATTAATTAAAATATTTTTTTTTTATTTTTTTAGTTACAAAGAGCGATTTTTTTCGCGAAATTCATTCGGGAAAAATAAAACGGATAAAGAACGAGTTAGAAATCGGATCAATATCGCGTCGTAGAACTCGTAGCCCAGAGTGCGTTATCCCAGGTCGGAGTTCACGGTCAAGGACGACATATTTCAAGATGATGGTTTGAATTTCCCGCGATTGATGAGCGACATCTATCAACGATTAGTTGTAACGATTACAGGAATCTATTTTTTTTTAATGGTATTAAGGTAAACTATAAAATCTTTCCAATATTGACGTTATTATTAATTGCAGGGATCTTTTTCTTTAATAATCTCCAAATTTAACGATTTTAATTTAAATAAATAAAAAAGGGTTTATTTCGAAGTCGTTAATCTTTCGGGGATTTCATTAAAACTTCCGTTCGAAGTTTCGAGAAAACGAGGAAAAGGGATTTCGATCGATACAGGTACCTATCCAAAAGTTTTTAAATTTTACAAATCACCTATTCCTACTTATCAAACTTATCACTATTTAGTTAACTTACTAAGGATATTGCTTACGGAAAATTAAAAACTGCTTGTAGCAGATTTTCGTTTTCATCTCTCTAAAAATAAAAGATTCTCAGAATAGACAGGCTCAAACTATTGAAAATTGTTTGAGAGTTTGATTGATTTTATACATTTCAACTTATTTTTTATTTTATATAGAATGCCTTGGCCATCTTCAGACACTCTACAAATAGATTAACATATCTCATCTCATCATATTATTATGATAACTAGTTTCAGGTGTAAAATGTCTACCTTAATTTTGACATATTTGTAATCTTCATTAAAAATCCTTTAAAATGAGTACAAACACGACATATTTATCTTCAATATTAATGAAGTTATGGTCAACTTCCGGTTAAGAATGTCAACGTCAATTTTGACATATTTGTAATCGTCGTGAAAAATCCTTTAAAATGAGTCCAAACATGATACGTTTAATTCCAATATTACTCGAGATATAAGCAACTTCCGGTTTGAAATGTCAATGTCATTATGACATATTCTTAATTTTTATAAAATGTCTTAATATTTGTCACAAAAACAAATATAATAACAAAAAAATTAAAAATTATATTTAAAAATTAAGTTGGTATCATTGTTGCTAACTTCGGGTTTAATGTTTTTTATTCTAACTTTTTTGTTTTTTGAGATAAATACATCATGTTTGGACTCATTTTAAAGGTTTTTTAATGAAGATGGCAAATATGTCAAAATTGACGTTGACGTTTCAAACCGGAAGTGATTGTATTTCCATTAATATTAAAGTTAAATACGTCGAGTTTGGACTCATTTTAAAGGATTTTTTATGAAGTTGGTAAATATGTCAAAATTAAAAGTTAAAAGTTCGAATTTTTTGTTTTTTGAGATAAATGAACATCATGAAAGAACACCATGAAGTTGTGCATTTGTCTATTATATCATAACTAACTTCAGGCTTAAAATGAGTATAAGTACTATAGAAATGAGAGTTCAAGATGAGGATTATGGATTATGTGACGTCACGCTCCAATATTATAAGACAGGGAAAGTGACCAACCTAAATCTGGGAGGCGAAAAAAGTAACTAGATTTAGGTTGGTATTGGAAAAGTACTAGATCTGATGACTTTTAGTGACCAACCTAAATCTGGGGGGTGAAAAAAGTAACTAGATTTAGGTTGGTACTGGAAAAGTTACTCTTGGGTTTAGTTTCACTACCAGCCACTAGCTGGCGCAATAAAAAAGTCACCAGATTTAGTAACTTTTCCAATACCAACCNACTTTTAGTGACCAACCTAAATCTGGGGGGTGAAAAAAGTAACTAGATTTAGGTTGGTACTGGAAAAGTTACTCTTGGGTTTAGTTTCACTACCAGCCACTAGCTGGCGCAATAAAAAAGTCACCAGATTTAGTAACTTTTCCAATACCAACCTAAATTAAGTTACTTTTTTCGTTAATGAAGTTATGCTCAACTTCCGGTTAAGAATGTCAACGTCAATTTTGACATATTTGTAATCGTCGTGAAAAATCCTTTAAAACGAGTCCAAACATGATACTTTTAATTCTAATATTACACGAGATATAAGCAACTTCCGGTTTGAAATGTCAATGTCATTTTGACATATTCTTAATTTTTATAAAATGTCTTAAATTTGTCACAAAAATAAAAATATAATAAAAAAAAATTAAAAATTAAGGTTGGTATTAATATTTAAAAATTAAATTGCTATCTTCATTGTTGCTAACTTCCGGTTTGACGTTTTTTATTCAAATTTTTTTGTTTTTTGAGATAAGTGCGTCTTGTTTGGACTCATTTTAAAGGTTTTTGAATGAAGATGATAAATATGTCAAAATTGACGTTATCTCCATTAACAAGGAAAACATTTTTTTGTTTATAAAGGTGTTCTTTTTTTAATATAAATGGACAGAAAATTAAAAATGCTTTAAAATGAACCCAAACTCGACTTATTTATCTTCAACGGTTATCGAGATATCTTAATTTTTAACAAAAAAAAATGGCGGTTATTTGACATTTGATAGTTTATAACCTAACTTTTTTATTTATTAACCGAAATATATCGTGTTTGGTATCAAATTAAAGCATTTTTGATGCTTATTAAGATCATTTCAATATTTATCAAAAAATCGTTAATTTAATTTTGACATTTGACAGTTTCTAACCTAACTTTTTTATTTTTTAACAAAAACATATGTATCACTTCACAAATGTCACTTGTCTAATTAGGAGTATTACAAATACATATAAACAAAATGGCGTTTTAATATGTCACCTGTCATGTTTTTGACACCGAGCATAAAAAAATTATATTAGAAACTGGTAAAACACGTCAAAATTGCTTTCATTTAATACCAAATATGATATATTTGTGTTAAAAAATAAAAAGGTTCGGTTATAAACTGTCAAATGTTAAAATTAAATATAACTATTTTATATCAAAAAAAATTTTTTTGGTTATAAAGGTGCTCTTTTTTAATATAAATAGACAGAAAATTAAAAGTGCTTTAAAATGAACCCAAACTCGACTTATTTATCTTCAACGGTTATCGAGATATCTTAATTTTTAACAAAAAAAAATGGCGGTTATTTGACATTTGATAGTTTATAACCTAACTTTTTTAATTATTAACCGAAATATATCGTGTTTGGTATCAAATTAAAGCATTTTTGATGCTTATTAAGATCATTTCAATATTTATCAAAAAATCGTTAATTTAATTTTGACATTTGACAGTTTAATCAAATTTCTTTATTTATTAACCGAAATATATTGTGTTTGGTATCAAATTAAAGCATTTTTGGTTCTCATTATGATGATTTCAATATTTATCAAAAAATCGTTAATTTAATTTTGACATTTGACAGTTTCTAACCTAACTTTTTTATTTATTAACCCAAATATATCGTGTTTGGTATCAAATTAAAGCATTTTTGATTCGTTTTAAGATCATTTCAATATTTATCAAAAAATCGTTAATTTAATTTTGACATTTGACAGTTTAACAAAAATTTTTTTATTTATTAACCCAAATATATCGTGTTTGGTATCAAATTAAAGCATTTTTTATTCTTATTAATGTGACGTTAGTTAAATCAAATGTTAGTAGATTAAATACTGTCTGTAGGAGATAAAATACTGCTTGTAGGAGACTATATACTGCCCACAGGCGTTAATACTACTTGTATGAGTCTAAATACTATTTGCAAGATATATTATATTTCTCGCAAAAGTTAATCTTTCGTGGATTTCATCGAAACTTCCATTCGGAGTTTCAAGAAAACGAAAAAAAGAGATTTCGGTCGATACGTACCCGAAAAGTTTTTAAGTTTCACAAATCACCTCTTCCTACTTATTAAACTTATCACTATTTAGTTAACTTACTTTATCTCCCGATTATTTATTTAGATTCACTCTTAATTCGAAACGATTCTTGTTTCAGCGTTGCGTTAAAACAAAACTTCCCATCCCGAGGGCGTGTTTGCGAAGTTGAAGTGTGTTTACCGACCCNAAATTAAAAATGCTTTAAAATGAACCCAAACTCGACTTATTTATCTTCAACGGTTATCGAGATATCTTAATTTTTAACAAAAAAAAATGGCGGTTATTTGACATTTGATAGTTTATAACCTAACTTTTTTATTTATTAACCGAAATATATCGTGTTTGGTATCAAATTAAAGCATTTTTGATTCTTATTAAGATCATTTCAATATTTATCAAAAAATCGTTAATTTAATTTTGACATTTGACAGTTTAACTTTTTTATTTATTAACCGAAACATATCGTGTTTGGTATCAAATTAAAGCATTTTTGATTCTTATTAAGATCATTTCAATGTTTATCAAAAAATCGTTACTTTAATTTTGACATTTGACAGTTTAACCTAACTTTTTTATTTAT